CCCCCCCTCCCCCTTAATTATTAAACTACAAGACCCTTGCTAGGCAGAGGATTCTTCAGGACTGTGTTTGTGTGTATGTTTTTTTTTTACTTTTTTTATTATTTTTCTTTATAATGGAAATTTTAGGTTTAAGCACGTGAGAGTGAAAACCACATAGAAAATGTTTAGGTTCGAACTAACAAGGTCTAGCTCAGTGAAAAAGGGCCTTGATTTGCAGACAATGACCACATGTTCGAATCCCCATGACTAAGTACCAACACACATTGCTAAGGCCACCCGGCTTTTCCCGTGAGAGAAATCTCCATCCACTTTAGCTATTGTCGTATCTTTATCAAGATCCAATTGAACTAACTTAGACATCGGATGATTGTTATAAAAATTATAGTTTTCCCTTTCCATAAAGCCAAATACAAAAACATTTATATTATAAATAACTTATAACCAAATTGGAAAGCTTTTAAGGTACAATGAAATTGGAGAAAACAAAATAATAGGTAAGTAAAAGCAAAATAAATAATAAGTAAGAAGGTGAGTTTGGTACGGTGAAGCACGTCAAAGACGCTGTCGTAAAGCCTTTGTAACCCCCTTATGTGCAGGTACTGACGGTTTACAAGACTCCAAGATACGACCCCTTGTACACAAACTCAAGATCCGCTATGAGCACGTTCATAAACGGATATAGGTATCCAAGTCACAGAACCATTGCCAAAATAATAATATAAAGTAGAGAAAATATATAAAATTAGAAAAGGAGAGAATTAGTTTGTGGTGGTGATTGTGGTATGTGATATTCTGATGGTGTATTGTGGTTGTTACAAATGTGAAGGAGGAGTGACCTTTTATAGGCATCCAAGAACATGTAACCTTCACCAACCAGAAAATTAAGGCATTCAATATAGAAATAAAACCTGAATATTAAATATTTATAACCCCCACAATAAATAAAATAAAATAGCCAAAATAATTAATACAATCAAAATGGTTAAAATTTTAAAACCTTTTTTAAAATTCCAACAATCCCCCACAAGGTTTTCAAAATTTTACCATGACAAAAAAAAGAAAGTGAAAATATATATTTATATATGAGCAATATAATACTATGCAATAGGTGTAGGTGCCTTCTGGGCTTGAACCTTCACTTAGTGATGATAGCCTCCATTTGAGGAACCTAAGTGTGCAAAGTATTGAACTCGGCACCTTTGACCAAACTTCAACATATCCCACACATAGTATTAGTTGAGACTTGGGCGGGGTAGCGCTATTTATGGCCATGCGCTAATCTTGCTTCTCATGAGAGTTACTAGAGAATAGCCCTGTCTACCGCGCAGATCTCACGGCCTGGGTTTCCGGGCCGAGGGGATATGCGTTGACACGTGGCTTCCTGCTTTTGGGTGCGGTGCGGTTGTGCGTGGGCGTGCCAGCACGGTCTACCGTGCGTCGAGAAGAGCAAGTGGGTAGTCCAATCAACATTTGGGATCGTGAAGTATGGTGTTGCGACCCCATAAATCCTGGTGAATCTCGGCCGCCGCCGTGATCGTGGGTTCTGCGCTTCTGGCCCTGGAGACGCATTTATTGTTCTGATAGCTGGTGACCTAATCTCTCAAGCTGCAAGAATTCTTGTGAGAATGTCCACGTCTAATCACTCTGTTTCCTATCGCCAAACCCTGACTTCAGTCACTTCCCACCTTCCCTTATGCATTAAATGCTTATTCGTGGCCAGTGGGTTTGCTGCAATAAACAGAGGCATTACTTCATTAAATGAAGCATGGGACCCTGCTATCACGTGACGATTTGATTCTGATATCTCTGGCCGTGATTTTGCTCGGCCTCGGCCTCGGCTTACAATCGAGGCCAAGATGATCATGCCTTGGCAACTTTTCCTTTGTTTTCAGGAAGGCAAAACACCTTGGCGAAACGCTGCGCCTTAGCTTCTCGAGGAAGTGCTTGGGCCGCGAAAAAGGGATTCCTTCGGTCAGTTCATGGCCGTGATTTATTAGGCACAAACATTGCCCCTACATCCCCAGATTCTTCGGTCTCGTCATGGGTTGGGACCGAATGGATTCCAGGGGATGGACCCTTTGCATTCCTTCTGAAGTGATTGACAACTGGAGCATTAAATGCGCAAGTCAGTCGGCGCATTTAATGCTTCAAGCACGTCGCGTAGGCCATCATTGCCCAGGGCGTCGCCTCGTTTTGTCAGAGGAACCGACGGCCTCTGGGCTTTTGACACGTCATCGCGCCTGTTGAGCATGCTGACGGAACGTTATGTCTCTCTCGAGAGACATACCCTTTCGTTTCGAATTCTAGCGCCAATATAAAAACCCAAACTTCTTTGTTTCTTCTTTATGCTTTCAGAATCCTCAGATGCCCAAGTCTTGCCAAAAACCCTTCTCTCAAGCCTTCAAGCCTACCAAGTTCTCAAACCTCCAGGTTTACCAGAGAATCTTGCCTGAACTCACGACTCTCTTTCACTCTTGAGTCTTGCCCTTTCCAGAACCTACAAACCCTCACCCTTTTTCAGGATTTTCTTCCAGTGTCCTTTACGTTCATCGCCTTTTTCTGCATTTCCCCCTTAAACACTTATCTTAAATCTGCTTTAATGGCCTCCAGTACCCCCACATCTGCCGAAGCTCGGTCCCAAGCCTTCCAGACTGAGTTCGAGGATATTTGCCGAGAAATCCAGGGCTCGGTCCTCCCCGACATCATCACGCCCTGATCCAATGACGACGGCGTCCCTATTGACTCCTGCATCCTCGGTCCCTCCGTAAATGGCGGAATGCCAGAGAGGCTAGTGGCTCTCATGAAGAACGATCTGGTGGACCTCTCAGCCTTCGACAGGGGGGATTTCCAAGATTGGAACGTTGTCAGGCCGCAGCAGCAATGGCCAACCGTGACCCCGGATTGGGAGAAATGGCTGCCGAGGATGGAGCATTTCTTCGGCCAGCAATGGAAGGATCAAGGCATCTACCACTTGATCAAGCTGTTCGATCAGCCGCTCATCATGGACCGGTCTCTTCTGGTCGCGACCCTGTGCTTCTGGTCGTCGGCCACCAATACCATGAACTTTCGGTTCGGTATGATGACGCCGACCGTTCTGGACATGGCCGCTCTGTTTGGCCTCTCTCCCCTCGGCGTGGAAGTAAACGCCGCACTTGTTGCTCCCGAGGTGGAAGGGAGCTTTAAAGCCGCATGGCCTACTCTTACGAGAGTCGCCGGGAGCAAGGCGAAGAATATGCTCAACTATTCCAGTTTCTACGGCAACTTCGGCGTAGAGGACAACGCCGAATATGACGCTATCGCCCCCCTCGGCGAAGTTGAGCACGCCGCATTCTTGCTGTACTGGCTGTGCAAGTTTGTGTTATGCACCCAGGCGAACAAGGTCATCCTGGAGTTCGCCCACTTGGCCGATTACCTTGCGCAAGGAGGAAGATTAGCACTCGGCCCATTCCTGCTCGGCCACATCTACCGCACGCTTCATGACATCGTCACTGATGGGATGAAGCCGAAGCACGGCGATCCACTGTGGGCCTTTCAATTCTGGCTGCAGGCTTACTTCCCAGAGCTGAGGGGAGTGGCCAATATCAGTGACACCGAGCCGCTGGCCAATGCATTTTCCCGGGCCCACAGGAAACATCATACCTCGGCCTTCTGCTACAAGTTCTTCTATGGCCTGGTCGAGAGAACGGGTACGCAGTTCCGTATCTGCCTTACTTGGTCGTTTCCACTGTTCTTGACGCACGACCTCTTTGTCATCCCTGATGGCGAGACAGAGAATGACTTGAAGGAGATCTGGGGATCCTTCCTCGTTTCGCGCGATCTCCACTGCGGCCTGTCCAAGGCCGGGGCCGAGATTTACCTGCCGAACTTCATGGCGCGGCAATTCGGCCTGATCCAGACGGCCCCGCTTCCCCCTTTGTCCACGAACCGGCTCTCGTCCTGGAGGGCCGACGTCACCCAGTAGCACGGCGTAGCTGACATCTCCTTCCAGCTTCAAAAGGGGATGACATTCCTGACTCTGACGCCCTGGTCGCGTCGTAATGCGTATGACGAGGATGGAAGGGTCTGGTACGAGGAGTGCATCTCGGCCAGATTTATTCGGCCTGTTGAAGAAGCCGCGAGGGAGGCTCTGAAGAATGTCGATTGGGACCCTCTCCCCCCCCAAGGGCAGCAAAGTGAAGAAGGTATCGACCGGGCCTCCTCGACTGAGTACCCCGGTCGCGATCGTGCCCAACCCGGTGGCCCCTCCCGTGACTGGAGCACCGGTTGTGGCCTCTACCGTGGCCCCATCTTCAACCGCGGCCCCAGTCCCCAGGGCGACGCCTGCAGTGGGGGTGCGAAAGACGCTAGCGCACAGGACCGTGCCGTCCTCTCCTTCTGCTCGGCCGAGG